GATGTCTGAAACAATCTTTATGCTCAATATATATTTATTCATTTTCAAAAATATTTTTACAATACATACAAAGGACCACCTAAAAAAAAAGTTATAATTCCATCAACTTCTAAGTTCAATCCTTCCTAACAGTGCCATCCATAGAACATTAATCCCTTACAATTTCTGCATAATCATATAATACCTATTCTCCAAGCATTAAAAAAATGTTATGATGCAAAATGTTCAGTTTCATCCACTTCATACATATACATTCAATGTTCAGCTACTGTATGCGTGTAAAAGAACCCTATGCACGTGAGAAAAGAAAAAAATAGGAAAGCAAAAAAATGGGAAGAAGGGAAGTGTAAATATATGTGTATGAAGCAGTTTATTAATTTCATCTATTTCATATATATATATACATTTATACAAAAAAAGTGTATGTAAAGGCCATTTGTAAATATATATATATACAGTATATACACATACATATACAGTATATACACACCATGGACAAGAGCGAACGCACTGGGAGTTTTTTTAAACTGGATGACTAAACCAACTTATGTGTCTCAAAGTGCCAACCCTGCACTTAAACCCGAATACTGATGATTTCTTTTAGAAAAACACTTTATACGACTGTCTGAACTAATTATGTGCTTAAATCTTAGAAGAAAAATACAATACAAGAGGTTTTAACTACACTACAGAGTGACATGTACCTTTGTACTGTGCTAATGAGTGAAGTGTTCCATTGCAGTGTGCTACTAAGGTACATGTCACACAGCACACTGCAAAGAACAGTCTCTCTACAGCTTGGAGTCAGTGGTAGAGGACCAGGGCCCAGTTGCAGCTGTGACCGCTGTGACCCTGGTAGTTCTGCCACTGACTCCAACCTGTAAAGGAACTAATCTCAGCAAAACATTATACAGCAATGCAGAATACCGCTAATTATAGAGGACTACAAATCCCAACAATACATTATACAAAAATGCAGAATACCACCAACTATAGAGGACTACATATCCCAGCAATACATTATACAACAATGCAGAATACCACCAACTATAGAGAACTACAAATTCCAGCAATACAATACACAGCAATGCAGAATACCACCAACTACTGAAGACTACAAATCCCAACAATACATTATACAGCGATGCAGAATAATACCATCAGCTATAGAGGACTGAAAATCCCAGCAATACATTATACAGCAATGCAGAATAATATTATGCTACATACTCTGTGTTGCTTCGAGGTGGTGGCCTGATGTCTCCAGCGGTCTGTATGGGCTCAGGGGGGCTGTGCGGCTCTAAGGTGGTCTGTATGGTCTCTCAGTGGGGCTCTGTGGCTCTTATGGGGGCTGTGCGGCTCTCAAGGGGGCGGTGCGGCTCCCAGGGATGGGCAGCTGCGGCTCTCTAAATAAAATAAGTCCGACTGTCCCGGATTTTCAACCTAACAATGTAACTAGACTTTAACTACAGAATATAGGATGATTTGCCAAAGAAACTGTCTGAAATAAACTATAAATATTGGAAAACATTATGAACTGGACATTAGAGTCCAGTGTTGCTACTCATCTTGGCTGCACAATGACTAAAAACACATCCGGTCAACTGGACAGAAACAATCCTTAATAAATGTAGACAACTATTTTAATGTATAAATAGCTTTATTACAGTGAAATATTGTATATTGCTTCCTAAAATAGAGTCTACCAGATTATAAACAGTTCTATACTTACGCAGCAGACCACTGGAGAACATCATGAGGCTGTGTCCTAATAGCAGCCTTTGTGAATTGCTTTAAGATGTCTGGAAGTTCTGGTGGAATGTCAATTTGCTGAGAACAAAACATAACTTCAGGAAGAGGCATGTCTGCTTATGTCGTTCTTAAAAATCTGTGCTAACAAAAATAAACAAATATTTAAATATGAATGTACAATCTACTGATAACCTTCAAAGTGTTTGTATTAAAATGATTCCTAATACAGTAGTTTTTAAAAAACAAATTCAGGTATTTTGTTTTATAAAGCATTGTGTATCATAAACTTAAATTATTTTCATAATATACGATTTTCACCTTTTTCAGCCTTCTTAAAAATCACTTCCTTTCTAATGAAAAACAAAAAGAGAGAACCGGAGCGCCGGCAGACCAAGCTTAGTCACTTGCAGCCACTGGATAACGCACCTGACACCACACCACTCCTCATGGTCACAAACTGGTGAGCTTCCTTCAAACCCCTCAACATGTGAGTGCATACCAGTGAATATTGTATTGCCCCTTTAAAAACCCACCTTATTGCGCTAGGTTTGTAGCGCTCCGGTTCTCTCTTTTTGTTTTTCAAGGATGCACAGCAGACACCCTGGTCTGATTTCACCAGGAGCCACACATTGCACTCTCCAAATCAGACTTTTCTTTGAACTTTTTACTTCGTTGCTAATGCACAACATTGCTCTGAACCTGCTTGCTGAGGGTAAGAACAATGAAGCATGGACAGGAGTGCATGCGAGAGAGTGACAATGTAGGAGCACATTTGGGAAACAGTTGTCACCGCATAACAGGTAGTGCCTCAACAAGGCCATTCATGGCAGGATCACCAGGTATGCTTTTGATAAAAACTGCAGATTTTAAAACATTGAAAATGACCTTTGAAATTGCATTAATATTAGGAATGCACCGATACCATTTTTTTCAGAGCAAGTACAAGTGCTTTTCCTCAAATATTTGCCGATACCAATTGTTATTACTTTTTTTTGCCATGTGACATTTTTCTAAAACAATACAGGCTAAGGATTTTAAGACAGTGGTGAAGTGCCAGGGCCTGGTCCCAGCTGCAAATGCTACGCCCCTGGTAGTTCTGCCACTGACTCCAAGCTGTAGAGGGACTACAAATACCAGCAATACATTGTACAGCAATGCAGAATACCACCAGCTATAGAGGACTACAAATCTCAGCAATATTTTATACAGCAATGCAGAATAATACCATTAGCTAGGGAGAACTACAAATCCCAGTGATACATTATACAGCAATATAGAATAATATGAATTTATATACTCTGTGCTGCTCTGGGGTGCCGGGCTGATGTCTCCAGCGGAGGATCTCAGGTGGCTGTGTAGGGTCTCAGGAGGGCCATGCGTACTCTCAGGTGGGCTGTGCAGGTTCTATGGTGGGTTGTGCGGACTCCTAGATGGGCTTTGTAGGGTCTATTGTGGGCTGTGCAGACTCTCAGGTGGCTGTGTTGGGTCTATGGTGAGCTTTGCAGACTCTCAGGTAGCTGTGCAGGTTCTTTGGTGGTCTGTGTGGACACTCAGGTGGTTGTGCAGACTTTCAGGTGGGTTATGCAGGATCTATGGTGCGCTGTGCGGGGTTAATGGTAGCTGTGCTGGGTTAATGGTGGCTGTGAAGCTCTCAGGTGGCTGTGCAGGGGGAAATGGTTGTCTGTGCAGCTCTCAGGTGGCTGTGCAGGGTTAATGGTGATCTGTGCAGCTCTCAGGTGGCAGTGTGGGGTTAATGGTGATCGGTGCGGCTCTCAGGTGGCTGTGTGGGGTTAATGGTGGTCTGTACAACTCTCAGCTGGCTGTGCTGGGTTAATGGTGGTCTGTGTGGCTCTCAGGAGGCTGTGTGGGGTATATGGTGGTCTGTGCAGGGTTAATGATGGTCTATTAGGCTCTTAGGTGGCTTTGCAGCTCTCAGGTGGCTGTGCGAGGTTAGTGGTGGTTTTGTGGACTCTCAGGTGGCTATGCAAGGTTAGTGGTGGCTTTGTGGACTCTCAGGTGGCTGTGTGCGGTTAGTGGTGGCTGTGTGGACTCTCAGGTGGCTGTGCAGGGTTAATGGTGGCTGTGCGGTTGTCAGGTGGCTGTGCGGAGTGGCTCTCAGGAAGCTCTGTATCTCACCCAGGTCCTGGTCAGTCGGTCCTGGTGTGGCTTTCAGGTGGCTGGGTATCTCATTGGGGTCGCGTTTGGTTGGTGGGCAGGTGCGGGCGGTGTGGAAAAGAGGATTTTCAGGCTCCTCCTTCACAGGAAGGCCCTTGGCAGCCTTCATGTGGAGCCCGGCGCTTGTTTACATCGCCAGCTTCAGTTAAAAAATGTAAAGTGCCAGTATCAGCGATTCGTATAGAGGCATACTAGTATCAGTGCATCCCTAATTAATATAATAATGCATATATAGGTTTTTAGTGATTTGAATTTAGATCTACTTTAAAATTCAGTATATAAAATAAATAACTTTCCTGGCATGAATATAGCAGCATAGATAGATATGGTGCTATGCACTTCCCCTGTCCAACTCACAAGAGCAGTGATAACAATAAATAGCATGACATATAGACCCTCATTCCCTTTTTCTTTGTTCTCAAGAACACTTATGGTCATTAAGGAGCCGGTCTATCCCTTTCGACCACCTTAAACAGCTCAACCTCTCCTGGGTGCAACCCCACTTGTTGAGCTGCTAAAAGTGCCAAAAAAGTACATGCCATACTTTTTTTCAGCACACACCACCGCATGCCCACTGTAGCAAGACAAAGAACATTGTCTGTGCGTTGGGGCTGAGGGCATGAGGGTCTACACTTAAAGCCGTTATTTATAGTTATCACTGCTCCTTTGAGTTGGACGGGTACGGAAAAAAAAATATGGCATGTTGTATTTTTTTGTAGCGCAGTATGGTGCAATGCGGTACAACCGTGACATTTTAATGCAGCGTCACTCGTGAAATTTCAATAAAGTTCTAAACAAAAAAAATAGACATCTAGAGATCGGCGCATCACCACGGTGCCTCTCACCAGCAGCCGTGTGTTCAGTGCTGTTTGCCAGTATTAACAGGCCCTTAGTCTTTTTTCGTTCAGCCCACGGGCTGAACAAAAACAATCTAGCAGTGTAGGGCTAGCTAGACACCTTTTCTTTGGAACTTTCACAAATAGCAAGACTCTGAGGTGGCATCCTTTTCTCTTGTCTTTAAAGTGACACTAAACTTAGGAGTGAAATCTTAAAAAAGCATTCAAGTACCTTAACTATTATCAAAAATGCAGCTTATTTGTGTATTACTCGTCTGTAGATCCTCAAATGCAGGAGCAGGCAGAAACTGGAGAAGTTTCCCCTGGCAACCAACCAGCTTCTCTCTTTAGTCTGCTTTAGACATTTTAAGCTTTAAAATGAAACAGATAAGCTGAGTGGATGCCACGGTTGCTCCAGTTCTGATAAATTCCCCTCTCTGAATTCATGCTGACACTGCCCTTCCTTTTGGAGGGTGGCTACTTTTGTTCCCCATGGTCCCTGTGTGTGTTGTAAAGTAGTCACTGCACCAAGCTCTGTGTGTTTATAATGCAAAATCAATGCAATCTAAAATTAAACGTACATTCTATGAATACGGCAATTAATGTGGAAAAATCCTAGCTCATGCTCTTCGTTCTCAACAGAACTTATCTTATATTTCTGAGGTAACAGACTGGCAGGGTGTGCGTGCCGCTTAATCAGAGGATATTGCCAAAATATTTCAGGACTCTTACTCGTCCCTCTGTATTCTCCATGCGCCTTCTCTCGCTGCCAACAACCCATTTCGACTTCTAAGATAAATACCTGCCTCTCTGAAGTAGAGCTGCAACAGTTAATCGATTTAGTCGATTAAAATCGACGATTGAAAACGTTGGCAACGTTTTCGATCGTCGATAAAGCAAATCTCCCCAATCTTTCAGAAGCAATAACTTCCATGGAACCGCCCATCATTTAGGGGGAGCTAATGTGCCTGTGTTCCGGGTGTGGGCGATCGCACTGTGAGTGGGGGACATGGCTGCGGTGCCATTGACTTCAATAAAACCCCACGCCCCCTCCCGCCCCTGAACGCAGGGAGTCAGCCGGCTTGCATTCCAGTGCGTTCTAGAGGTGCTGGCATCCTGTCCTCTCGCGGTGCTCGTGTGGCCGACGTTGCACATGGGTGTCCCGCTCCTTTCCGTCTGCGGCGTCTGACACATTCAGCCGGCAGCCGCATGAGCACCGCGGGAGCATAGCCGTAGCCAGCTCATTTTGTGCCCGTGGCAAGAACAAAAAAGTGCCCCCCAACAGGTGTGTGACCCAGCACACTGCCTCCAGGATTTTTTATTATTTCTTATTTATCTTTTATATTTTAATATTTTTTTTTTTACTGTTGGGGGTGGCTTTGGGGAAATATTAGGGGTCTAAACAGCCCCCTGATATATTTCTTTTAAAGTAGAAAAAGAAACACAAAGTCCTCAATCTCTTTTTCTGTAGCCTCCGTTCTAAATGAATGGAAAGCACTAGGGATGCACCGATATATCGGCTGCCAAAACATATCGGCCGAAAATGCCACTTTTGGCATAATGCGGAAGGTGCCATTTTCCTGCCAATACATCGGCGCATCCCAGGTTTCTTTCCTCCCCGCTGGGCGCTGCTCTGTGTCCCAGAGGGGAGAAGAGAAACTGCGATAACCGGCCGAGCGCTGCGGGAGTAGAGCGCTGCTCTTATCTGGCTGTCCTACCCCTGTTTCATGTCTGCCCACTGTGACCATGTTACCTCAAGCGTCTGGTTAACGTAGGTAACAAAGTCCAAATCCCATTCGCACTGCCACGGTCTCAAAACCACAAGGTCACTGTCGCTCTGATGAAGGATCCCTGTGTGGACCTGAAACGTTAGCACCGTATGACAGTATGTGACATTGGGTATTAAATAAACATATCAATACTTTAAAAACCCTTCAAGTGTGTGCCGGTGAATTACTTTTATTTATTATTTATGGTTAAGGTAGGTGCCTTAACTAGTAGATCGCGATGTCCTGTCTTCTCTGGATACCCACTGCTCTCCCCCATCTGTATGCAACGGGGATCAGAGGAGAAGTGAAGTTGCAGCCGGCGGCGGGGGGCGGAGGAGAGAGCCGAGCGGTCAGGAGAGAGAGCCGCCCAACCTAAATCTGACAGCCGGCGGGTCTCTCCTCACCGCACATGCTGCTGTTACAGCGGCTCCGTCCCCCCCGGCGGCTGAAGTGCTTCCTTCACTTCTCCTCGGATCCCCCACTGCCTCTGCCCGGGAGAGCAGGGGGGATCCAGAGGAGAAGTTGCAGCCCCCCTGTGTGCGTGGCCGAGCGGCAGAGGATCGGTACATATCAGTGATATGTACCGATCTTCTGTGCAGGACAAACACTGGAGCGATCAGCTGATCACTCCAGTGTTTGTAAATAACTGGGGACACATACTTCACTTCCTGTTCATTCATGAGTTTCTGAATGGGGAGGAGCACTCTGTACAGAGGCTCCTCCCCATTCAGAAACTGCTTGATAGTAAATAGTTTCTGAATAATTGGGAAGCCTCAGCTTGAATTCATCTGGAAGTTGATCGAGGGTCTTTATCCACCATTCGAGCAATCCTTCCTTGCAATGTTTGATCAATTGTTCTCGTCCACATCCAGGGAGATTAGCTACAGTGACATGGGCTGTAAACTTATTGACAGTGTTGCACAGTGGACACAGGACCATTAAGATCTCTGGAGATGGACTTGTAACCTTGAGATTTTTCATGCTTTTCCACAAAAACTTGGAATTATTATTTGCAGTTTGGAGAAGGTGCCAATGATTTTGTTCAGTCCATTTTCGGAGTTTTGCGTGGAATGTGTCAGATTTGGCTTTTTTTTCTCCACTTTTTTGTGTCATACCAAACAAAAGAAATAAACATGAGAATGCCTTAACATTTGTAATTGCAACAATTTTCTGCGCGAAGTGGTGCATTATCTGACAGAAATGCAAAGGGCTGTACTCACTTCTGTGAGATACTGTACATACAAGAAATCAGGCATGCAACAGTTTCAAAGACACTTCTGGTGTGCATAAATTGAGTAATGTCCAATATTTTTTATTTGCACATGAGCTAAAGGAAAATTTCCTTGCAAAGTTAATAGCATATTTACTTTTGTTAGATAAACCCCACTGTGTCCCCCAAAGTCTGCTATGATTAAGGGTATGTTAAAACAGCGGATGAACTGCTGCACTTCTTTTCCTACCTGCGGCCGAGTTCTCGAACGGGATAATAAACGTGGAACTGCAGCTTTAGTATGGTTTTAGAAAGCGTTCTAGTCTCCAGGCAACCATTTCCATAGCAATTTGGACGCGCCAACCAAACGTAAAAAAGTGACGCAAGCCAAGTAGGCATCCCCTGCCTGCGTGCCCGCTCCCCCTGCGCGACTCCGCCGTTCGTATTGTATACTGCGCATGTGCACCTTGCTCCTCCTTAAAAAACGAACGCCGACGTGTCTGTCTCATCAATGCTATCAATAAAGTTAAGAAAAAAAGCATTGGCAATGCTAACATTAGCAAAGCCACGTTGAAGGAATTAGTATGGGCGGGTACTTGAGCAGGACCGTGGAGTAGGAAGGAGCAGGGGAACAAGACAAATGAATATTGGGCGGAGATTTCGTGGCTGGAGACTTGCAGACGAATTCGGGTGGTATTGTGTAACGTTGTGCCCTCAGGGTGTTACAGAGAAAGGAGGAATATCTTCTACTTAGGAAGCATGTCATCCCCACCCAAAGAGAAACCGGACACCAAAGCCGGGCATCCACCTGCCGGTACTTATTTATGTTACTTCTGTACTAGGACAAGGAAGAATTTTAGCAGGCCGAGGGTCATAAGCTGCCATATGGCACCAACATTGAATAGGACTAACGGAGGAGTGGGTATAATGTCCACTGTGAACCGACTACCTATGTAGATAACAATGGCTTTATTATTTTATATAGTGCAATTGGAGCAATTGGCCTGCTTTTCAGCACTTTACTGTGCTTAGTGACATGTTATGTGCTCGCAAAGGAATGTAGTTTTTTGTTAGGGAGTCTAAAAATAATATTTTGCAGCTTACCAATTAAAAGCTGTGGTGGCTGCATTAGTTTGTTTATTTTCACCTGGTGGTTTGGCCAGTATGTCTGTTATTTTGTAACTTCCTTTACCAGAACAAGCTGCCTAGCAAAAGTGGCAGCTGGAGGCCTGATGCAAACCATGTGACACTGACTGGAATGCTTACAGTGGTTAGATTTTTATTCAGTTATCTAAAGCCTTTATTACAGAAGGAAAAAAATGTTTTAACTTTTTTAAAGTGATAGCTGGAATTCGGATTTAATTTGTTAGTCAAGTCCATCTAAAGGTGCCCGTACTTCAATCCAATTGTACAATCTCCTTTTAGATTTATTGAAACTGGGAGGACAAACTTAAACCACTCAAATTGAATGCAGCCATGCAGTTCCTTACACATCATAAAAGATGGTAGATCTAAAGGGCCAACAAAAATTCTTCTTCCATCAACGCTTAACAGCGTGAGTGGAGGATTCTTCTGCTGCCGATAGTGTATTTTTTTGACAGTCAGCGTTGCCGGCTGTTGAAATACCTGTTCGGCCAGCAATTTTCCACCAGCCTCCTTTTGGGGTTCAGTTCTAAGGATGAGGTGGAAAACAGGGCCACCCACTGAGCGAAGTTTAGCCAGCCAGATCAACACATACTGGCCAAACATTTGCTCAGTGTATGGCCAGCTTAAGACTATCCTCTCCACAGGTTGATAATGCTGCTGTCTAAAGGTTGCTCCTCGATAGAGTAGAGCCATCCTAAAGCTGGCCATACAGCAGTAGAATTTCACTTATTTTTGGAACGTTCATTCAGTTTTCTAATCGTTAATGGGGTCAAATTGATTGCTTTATCCTAAAAAATGCATGTGTTCTTGATTTTTGGATCTGCAGTACAGTTTATTTTCATTTGTATCACTAGCAAGATGGGGGGTGAGAGGATTGCGTCTGCTAGTAGATTAAGCTATTTGGCAACTTCAGGAGTTCCATGAGCACATCCATTCCTGCCACATCAAATTAGGGACATTGCCAAAATATCAATATTTTGGAGTAAAACTATCTTTAATTTTTTTAGCATTTCGAACTCGTAATTAAAGAAATGTATAATCAGTATGTACTTTTAGCAACAGCAGTCATGATCTGAGAACTAGAACACTTACGTTGTACATACTTCTGTAAAGGTTCAGATTCGCTTTGCCACTCCTGTCTTCTGAGGCTGCCCATTACTAAGGTAACCAATAGGGTGCTTGGAAAGCAGTTGGAGGTGGAGACAAGCCCAACGTTTACAAAAAATAGTCAAGGTTTGGAACTAAATCGAGCTAAAGAGCTACTTATATCAGACAGACAAGCCAGATTGTTTTGAAATGCAATTATTCACGAATTGTACCTTGCATAACTTAATCTTATGCAAAGCTTAAATTGACAGCATTTGCGTTAAACTAGATCTAAAACCCTGAGGGAGAATCCTCCTTTAGGCTGGCTATACAATGTTAGAATTTTGTCCGTCTAACCGGAATCGGCCAAAATACTTAGTGGGTGGCCCTGCCAGCTCAACAAAAGTAGATTACTCAGTCAACTTCTGTTGAAGGACCTTGGCTAAAAATCTTCAGCAAAATAGGGACTGCAGCCAACTCCAATGATCTAGCCAAAAGCAGTGCAACTGCTTCCTTGCCTAGGCACTGCAATTTTTTACGTTTTCTGAAAGTACAGGACCAGAATTATAAAAAGTTGGTGCTGCTAATTTTTTAGGTCCTGCAATATGTGCAAATGCTTATCAAATTAATATTTTTTATAAAAATATACTAAAATCATTATCAGTGCACACATAATTGCACCTTTTTGCATAACAGTAAATGAACACAGAAACATGAAATTGTAAATAAGCAACTTATGCTAAAAATGTGGAGGTTGGCCTTACACCTATGTGTTGGGGGTAACGCCTGATCTGCAATGCCGTTTGTGCACTGCGTTGGTGTGTGTGTTGTGATAAAATGATGCAGACATGCATTGTATCGCAACGCAGTAAGCTACAGTTCTTTGTCATGCGCTGCCGCACAGTTAAATTAATGTTATTTTAAAAAGGTAAAGAAAACAATCAAGCACTGCGATGTGTTGTAACAGCGCAGCGCATGTGCATTACTCACACCTCAATATAGTGCACACTGTTGCACGTGTATGGGGGGGTGCTTTATTTATTTAACATTACCGTTGCTATCTCATTTACTATCTACCCCGTTATGAATGGACAACATGATCCATGCAGAGCACCTCCTCTCCTTTCATAAACTGAGCAGATAGTAAACATTTACTATGTTCCCCAGTCATAAATGAACAGAAGGGATGTGTAGTACTTCCGGTTTATTCATAACTGGTGACTTGGTAAACACATACTATTTTCTCAGTTATGAGCATAATAATATTTGCTTTTGAAGGGAAGGATTGGCAAATATTTCACATATTTGCTGATCCTCTGCTCGGCATCCTGAAGCTCCATCCCCCTCCTGCCTGTGACAACTAGAGTCACAGCTGCTCTCTCCTTCCCACTGGTTCATGATGCCAGCACCCAGTGGGGAGGAGAGAGCTGCGGGGGGCTGTTTTGGAACAAATTGCTGCCATCCGTGGCTTGTCAGCCGCGGGTGATGGCTATTCATTTTCACAGAAAAGTCAGGAGGACCCCTCTGCTATAAGTAAAAGTGACCTTGAGCTTGAAGGAGAACTATGAGGTGAGTGATTTTCACTCATCCTCATAGTTCGAGCCCATGTGTGACAATTAAACTGTCACACGTCGGCTCAATAGATCGGGGAGTGAGCGAACACATACCGTAGCTCGCTCTCTTCTCGATCATGTCCCTGCAGAGAGCAGTTACTGTCACTCACTGCTCCCTGCAGGGATACCCCGCTCCGATCCTCCAGCGCTGACTGGTGGAACAGACGGGGAGGGGGCGGGTACAGCTGGCTCTGCCTCTAGATAGACAGAACCAGCTGTCAATCACGCAGCTGGGTGGATCTCGACAGTATTGTCAGGATCCGTCCCGGCTGCGGCGGTCTCAATATACCGCGAGCTGTAGCTGGCAGTATACTGAGCTTTGGGTCACGGGAGGACACTAGTTTATGTCCTCCTGTGTCCCTTAGGAGAACTATGGGAAAAAGCACTTGCCCCGTAGTTCTCCTTTAAGGCAGATATGATGTATGCAGCCCACGTAAGGCCTACTGAGCTGGCCAGCTGTGAACATTTTTGTTCCGCTTTATGCCTTACGTTGGTGGCAGGGAAAGGGTTATACTACTACTATTACCGGTAGGTGATTTGTAAAGGACTAGGGGGCCCAGACAGTGTAAGTGGACACAGGGCCAGCTTTAGGCGCCCTGTGCGTGAAAGCTTTACAGTGCCCCTCAGTGACCACACCCATTTTCCCAATAGCCACACCATTTAAAGACCCCCATTTTGTTAAGCCCCAAAGAAACATATTAACCACTTCCGGGCCGCAATAAGTCTATAGACGGCGGCCCATTAAAGTGGTTAAGACAAGAACACGGCTGCTGTTCTTGGTACCGCTTTTAACAGCCAGCGAGGGCTGTTAATGTACAAGTGATCCGGCGTCTGTACAGCCGCCGGATCATTTGTACCGTGCGGCTTCCAGCCGCTGATCTCTCCTCCGATCACTGGACCCGGAAGTGATGTGTATTACATCACTTCCGGTGTCACTGTAGACAGTCTCCGGCTCTTAGAGCCAGGAGTTGAAGCTGGGGAAGCAGATCTCTGCTTCCTCAGCTTCTTTGGGGTCCTTAGGTGACATTAGAGGTCTGAAAGAGAACCTGTCACACCCTATCTGCTATTACATAGGGTGCTTGTTAGACCCCTATGTAATAGCAATTGGGTTAGTGTAAAAAAGTTTAAAAGTTATAAAAATGAAAGTAAGCGGGAAGCTAGTCACAAACGACAAGGAGAGGGCCGAGGATGTGAAATTTTGGGTATTTTCCTTTTTTTGTGGCTTCACGGGCGAACACAATTTTAAGGCTTGACATGTTTGGTATATTTACCCAGCGTGACCCCGTTTTTCATATTTTAACAAAAATTGGGTATTGTATTGGGATGAATTAAACTAATACAATTAGTTTAATTCATCCTAAAATTACAGGTTTGATAAACATTTGCGCAAAAAGCATGCAACGTAAAAAAATTGCAACTAGCATTTTTTTTATTCTACAGAGCCTCTGCTT